GGTATTCACAATTAGCGCCTCTAATCAAGAGTGGAAGTATCAATTAGACTAATTAATTTGAGATGGCTTATGAGAATAGGGGCCTAGTAGCTATTTAAGTGATCTGACAGACTAATTACAAGAACATCTTAAGAATTGAGGGGCCTAAAGTAACATCAATAATTCGAGGCACTAATATCAAAAAATATGAAAGATAAAAGGGACTAATATCCAAAAACCCTCAATTCAAATGCCTCTCCCCTCAAGTCAAATGCCCTCCCTCCGTCTCCCAAAACCCCATAAAACAAACTCCGCTCCTCTCTCCTCCTCCACCCAAACCCTAAACCCCGCAATCGATCTCGCCGAAACCCTAATCGCCCACCTCAACTCCTCCTCCCCCGACCGAACCCTCCTCGCCCAGACCCACACCCGCCTCCTCCGCCTCTCCCTCCTCCCTTCCCCTCCCCTCCCTCTCCCTCTTCCTCCTCATGCACCGCTCCGGGCCCCACCCCGATCGCTACACCCTCCCTCTGGCCCTCAAAGCCTCCTCCCACCTCTACTCCCCCTCCCTCGCCTCCCAACTCCATTGCCTCTCCGTCAAGCACGGGCTTGATCGAAGCGAGTACACGGAGAGCGGGGTTATTAGCTCGTACGCCAAGTTGGGGTTGTTTGAGAGTGCGCGCAGGGTGTTTGATGAAAATGCTGAGAGAAAAGTTGGGTCTTGGAATGCGATGATTAATGGGTATTCGAACGGTGGGGAGGGGGTTGAGGTTGTGAGATTGTTTGTGGAGATGAGGAGGAGAGGGGTTGTGGAGGACGAGATGACGATGATTGGGGTTGTGTCGGCTTGTGGAGGGTTGGGAGATTTTAGGCTGGCTCAGCAGGTTCACAAGTGTGCGATTCAGGTGATGAGGTCTCTGTAATGACTTGGATTGTTCATGCTTGCATACAGTTTTGGTTACGGAATGCATATAATTGTTAATAAGAGCGTTAAAGTTGATTGCGATTTGAATTTTGTGTCTTTAAGTATGTCATAGTACACGATGAGAGCTGTGATTTTATTGGTAACAAATGATATGATGAGAAATATGATCTGATTTGAATCATTTTTAAACCCACTCATAGCATCCCGAACAGAAATACAGCTACTGATACACGGATTATCATTTGAATTCAACAACTAAAGCAGTTGGTGTTGTAAGGCATATTTCAATTATTCATATTCTGAAGTTTCTTCGATTTCTTTAGGTGAAGAGTTCAGATAGACTTGACATCACAGTCTCTAACTCACTAATCGACATGTACTGCAAATGCGGACGCACAGACCTAGCACACCGAGTATTTTCTAGGGTTTCACAGCGCAACGTCTCAACATGGACATCAATAGTCACTGGTTTCGCTACATACGGCCAAGAAAAACTCGCATTAGACTTCTTCAACAAAATGATTGAGGAAAAAATACACCCTAACCATGTAACAATGGTGGCTGTTTTAAATGCTTGCACACATGGTGGCTTAATCAAAGAAGGAATCCATTTCTTGGAGAATATGAAAGAGCTCTATAATATTGAACCAAATGCATTGCATTATGGATGTGTTGTTGATATGTTGGGTAGGGTTGGGAGGTTGAAGGAGGCGAGAAAGGTAGTAGAGAGAATGCCAATGGGGGCGAACGTTGTAATTTGGGGGACACTGCTTGGGGCGAGTGAGAAGTATGGAGATGTGAAGGTTGGAGAGTGGGCGGCGAAGAATTTGATGGAGTTAGAACCTTGGAATGATGGGGTTTATGTTGTTTTGTCGAATATTTATGCAAAGGTTGGGATGTGGGAGAAGGTGGAGAGGTTGCGGAAGGAGATGAGGGCGAGGAGAGTGGAGAAGGTGCCCGGTTATAGCTTGGCGACAAGGGATTTGTGACAATGTATGATGGTTTTGTTCATTAGAGTTAATTTGCAGATAACTCCCCTCATCTCTATCTTCAATAACTTTCATTGTCCGTCGACTCGTTTATGAGCTCTAATAATGGGTGGTTCCACATTTTAACAGGGATAAGTTGCAGATAACCGCTCTCCGTCAACAAGATTTGATGATGATAAGTGTTACTAACGAGGTGAGGGGTGATAAATTCTAATAAAGGTATAGACGAGGGGCTTATCTATGAATTATTCTTTATTCATTTTTAATTTTGAGCAGTGTATTATTGAGAATACGAGTGATGAAGGTAAGCAGCAAACAAGCTGCAGTTGTTCCTGTAATCAGAGGTGGAATTTAAGGAGTAGATTATTTGTACAGTCATGATTGAATTCAAGTTGCTATTCTGCATTTGAACATTGCGTCTGAACGTTTGGGAGTGAAGAACTCAACTGTGAACTCAACTGTGAATTCAGGCGTCTGGATACTCCTTACTCCATGGTGTTTTCTAGTTTTGTACAGCTGTAGGACTGAGTGGGCCTCAGTTGGGCTCCGGAAGTTGGCTCGGGTCTTAACTTGCGCATGGTTCTTGGGTCGGGCCTTACTATGAGCTTTGCTTGTTCTAGACGCTTTGTCAATTTGCATGTGAGTTGGAAGTGGGAAAATACAATGTTTTTTTTAGGGAAAATTGCTTCCAGCCCCCAAAACAACCCAGAACATGCTCTGCCCCCCCAAGACCTTTTCAACGTTCCTTTTACCCCCAAAACCGCCCCCGATTTTCTTCCAGCCCCCAAAACCAATCCCCAGGCGTAACGTCGTTTAAACCCCGCTCGAAATGCCCAAAATACCCTTACGTTTAAAATTCCCCGTTATGAGTTACCTCCTCGTCCGTACCCTGTCATCTCTCTCTTCTGCAAGCAAACCGACTCCAGAAACCCAATTCAAAACCCTAGCCCTAAATCAACCGACCCCAACGCAAACCGAATCAAAGCAAAGAGATCAAAATGGCCGGCGATTCAACCCCTAAAGCCAACCTCAATGCCGACCACAGCGAAAGCGATTACGCCCAGCGGTTCGAAATCTCAGAAAGAGCCCATACAACTGCAGTGCGGACTGAATCTGAAGCTCGAGCTGCGATTGACAATGTTCTAGAGGACATCGCAACCAGCCATTCTCATCCCAGAAGCCGGCCTCAAAATAGAAGTGTAGGCCCCCGCGAAGGTCTAGAGGGCAGCACCGGCACCACCGGCGCGTCCAACGATGCCACTAGAGCGCTTCTTGGTCTACAGAGAGGAGAAAAAGAGCAGCATGTGGCAACACCCAAAAGGTAATTTTTACCGCAAGTTTTATGTTGTTAAGGTTATGGTTTGATTGATAATGCTCTTAGTCTGGTGGGAAGGTCCAAAATTACGGTGTCTGTTAGCTGTTGAGGTTACTGTTAACATGCAAGGTCTATGCTTTTATTGCTGAGGTTGTTGTTTAGTTGTTGAGGTTAGGCTTTGGTTGTTAAGGTTAGGTTTTGGTTGATAAGGTTGTGGGGTTGTTGTTAAGGTTGTTGGTTACTGCCTTTATTGTTAAGGTTGTTGTTTAGTTGTTGAGGTTAGGCTTTGGTTGAAAAGGTTAGGTTTTTGTTGTTAAGGTTATGGGGTTGCTGTTAAGGTTGTTGGTTTACCCGCAAAGTTTACAGCATAGTTGTTATGTTTACTGATTATACTCAAAAATGCTCTCGTCTTGTGTTTTTGTTTTGTAGAAAAAGGGCAAAGCCACCTATTACGTTGCGGCCCACCGCCAGCTTCGGTGCCTATCACGACTTCATGTAGAATTTGGTGACGCGTATGGGGCCAAGGCATTTTGCGGCCTACGAAGATAGTGTATTTAGACACTACGTCCAATTTGGCCCACCTGGCGTCGATCTTCCCACCTTTGAGCACATTTTGAGTCAGTGGGACAAGAAGAGCAAAAAATTCGTCTTTACTGATAGGAATGATGGAGAAGAGATCGCATGCTCATTCAACCTTGAGTGGGTAATGGAGCATACATGGTTCTCCAATGAGGGGCTTCATGTTGACCACAATCGGGACAGGAAAAATAGGATTTGGTCCAGTTTCTTTGACAAACCCGAGGCGGGGGGTTCCAGCAGTATAGCTCCCCCCAAAGGAGGCCCCACCAGACGCAATGTGGAGGACCTGCTTTTGAAGCTGGTACTATCTTCTGATCGCCGAGATGTGAAGGACTTTGTCCTGCTACAGATCCTCTATCAGCTGAGCATGATTTGGTGTCCAAGCAGTGTTTCCGGCGTTCCTAGGCATTTATTCAAGTACGTCGACAACATCGAACAGGTCAACAACACTGCTTGGGGGACCTATATATTCAGTGAGACATCTGATGCGATAGAGAGGGCACTGAAGGGTCCTGAGCCAGGGAAGACGACATTATATCTGCAAGGGTGTACCCCTCTAGTTTGTGTAAGTAATCATGTTTTTTACTGATTGTGAAGGTTAGGGTTTAGTTGTTAATGTTACAGTTTCGTTGTCAAGGTTACGGTTTGGTTGTTAATATTACGGTTTGGTTGTTAAGGTTACGTTTTTATTGTTAGGGTTACTTTATTAATTGTTACGGATGAAGGTGTTTGTTAAGTTTTTATATCTCTAATGTGCAGTTGTGGTATTATGAACTCACCGGCATCAAGAAGCCAGCACTTGGTTGTACGGTGAGGCCTCCCCTGACAAATTGGGTGAGACTTGGGCACGTTGCTGGTTCTTTGAGATTGGCCACTGTTGTTGCGAAAGCAAGCAAAGCTACGATAAAGCTTCCACAGCAACATGGACAACTTCAAAGAATCGAGGGAGGTTTTTGGGGGAAGGAGCAGGGGATAGAGAAAGAGAAGAGGAGAGAGAGAGAGAAGAGGAGGATTAAGGGTCCGGCTGCAGTAGACGCCGGCAGGGCTCGTGGCCCAATAGACCTTCTTCACAAGAAGAAGAGGAGAGAAGAAGATGACGACATCCCAATTGATGCACTTGTAAGAACTTAGCAATCGTGGATTTTATTTGTTTTTGAATTAATTAATCCTTTTAATAGTACTCTACCTGTCCGTTGCATATGTGATGCCACAGGATATTGATGAAGACGCCGAGCAGCCAAATGATGCAGTTGAGCAAATGGATTGGCCTCAGCAAGTTATCTACTGGAAGAGCATCGCGGCAATGAACGAATCATTACGCCGCGAGAACGAGAATAAATTCAAGGGTATGATTGTTGCAGACCGTGTAAATACAAGTGCTCTTTCTGTGAAGGTGGCTAAGCTGTCTGCTCAAAATAGAAGACCGAGAGAGGAACTAAGCGAAGCACGATGCGAAACCCTCTCTGTATACAAGGATAAGAGCCCTACAGGATTGGTGTCCAGCCCATTGATGGAGCCGCAAACTTGTACAAGTTAGATGTGGCTTGCAATTACGTTTGCGTGTTATGGTTAAAAATTGATTGATAAGTATATGGATTTATTATCAAGGTTAAGAATGTATTGTTAACTTTACTGATCTAATGTTAAGGTTAGGGATTTATTGTTAAGGTTAAGAATGTATTGTTAACTTTACGTATCTAATGTTAAGGTCAGGGATTTATTGCCAAGGTTGGAGATTGATTGTTAAGTATCTTGGTTAGCTATGTTTTTTTGACAATGAAGTACCTAAGCTCATTTGTGTTTATTTTTTGAATCAGACACTCCAGGCACCGTGGGTGGCATTGATGTACAGTACGAGGGGGATGTCAATAAATCATTATTATTTGATGAAGCTAATAAGGAGGCGAGGCCCCTCCAACAAGGAGGGCCTCTCTACAACCATTGTTTTCTGATATCCACAAGGAGAGTGAAGATGCTCCGCCAGGAGAATTACCTCCACCAGAGGCATCTACTGTTGACAAGGCCCTTAAGGCAGAAATAAACGAGGGAGAGAAGGTGTCCCCGCCAGCGAAGGAGCTACTAACTTGTACAGGTTAGCTTGCTTTTGTACTATATGTTAGAGATTGGTTGTTATGTCTACGTATTGGTTGTTAAGCTTTTTATTGTTTATACTCTGAATATTATCAGAAACAGGCACTCAACGCGAGGGCACTGGAAGGGAAATAACGCCGGCGGTTGAAGTCCCTTCTGCAGGTGATGGGGAGACGCAAACTTGTATAGGTTAGCAACTTTTTCACCATGTGTTTAGGCATCAGTTGTTAGGTTTACTATGAAATTGTTAAGTTTAGATAGAAGGGGCTATGTTTTCTTAATATTTATACTTCGAATGGGTTGTTTGGAATCAGACACTTTGCGGGAGGACACTGGGATGAAAATAAAGCAATCAGAGAATGCCCCTCCACCAGCAATAGAGACATCAACTGATGACGAAGATGCTCCTATTGTGTTTTCAAGGGCTTTGAATAAGAGAAAGAGGGGTGCAACGGGGGCACGCGGGAAGATGGCCGCTGCTGCACCCCCTAAACGGAAGAGATGCAAAAGATCGGTGAAGCCTTCCAAGTGGGTAGTCACCCCTTACACTGAAGGGAAGAAGAAGAAAGAAAAAGACAACATAGGGGACAAGGCTATAATAGAAGTGGGTGGGGAGGAGGAAGCGCAGGTGCAGGAAAACAATGCAGAGTTGGCTCCTGCTCGGCTACAAAGTGACCCCCACTCTATCTGGGAAAAACACATGAGTTCCCCTATGAGTTCAGAAGAAGAAATGTACAGAGATAAGCTGAACGAGGGGATTCCCTTTCCAGATGGCTTCATCATCAAGTTTTTGGGCGACAAGGACACATTTGTACATAACTATAAGGTGTCAGCAGACGTTGCCGCGCTACTGACGGAAGAGGAGCAAAAAGCTCTTAACCATTTTTGCATTTGTAGATGTAACAAGTAAGTATTTACTTCACATCTCAAGTATTTACGTTTGTTGTTTAGTTTGCGGGTTTGTTGTTATGGTTACGGGTTTTTTTGTTATGATTATTGATTTGTTGTTTAGGTTAAGGGTTTTTTTTGTTATAGTTATTGATTTGTTGTTAAGGTTATGTGGTAGTTGTTAAGGATACGTGTTTGATGTTAAGGTTACGTGTTTGTTGTTATGGTTACGGGTTTTTTGTTATGGTTATTGATTTGTTGTTTAGGTTAAGGGTTTTTCGTTATAGTTTTTGATTTGTTCTTGCTGCTAATTGTTAGTTGCTAACTATTATTTTTGTTTTTTTCCCTGTTTGCAGTTTTATTAAAGTGTACGAGGGATCAGCAGGGTCTATTACCCGGCTTGAGATCCTCAATATATTACGCGGTGGGCGACTGGATGATTCAGTAAGATTTTCGATTGGTATTTATTCATTAGCATATTTAACAATACTATTATTAATTACTTGTTGCCAACTTATGATAGCTTGTTGATACGCTGCTTGATTTAGTTCGTGAAAATCAGAGAGCATCGTCCAGTATAAAATTCGGCGTAGTCCCTGTTTGGTTTAGTGTAAGTTTATGTCTGGCGTGGCGTACTCCTAACTATCAGCACATAATCTATGTTAAAAGGAACCTGATCGGGTTAATTCTTTATTGCAGCACCAGATACATGTGCTGAAACCAGATTACCAAGAGCTGCATGATATCTACATCAAACGCTTGGTCGATGAAGGGTGTACTAACCTCTTAGTTCCCATTGTCCAGGGCGATCATTGGCATCTTCTGGAGTTTGATGTCGAAAATGATATTGCCAGGCATTACGACTCCTTGAAGGAGAGATCTGGACATTGGGACCCTGTGCTCAATATCGTCAAAGCCTTCAACTACATTAAAGCTGGCTTCAATGAGAACCAATTGCGCAGCGTATTCGACCCAATCAAAGTTCCATGCGAGGAGCAAAAGGGATCGTAAGTTTGCCGGAACCCTTGTTGGTATTCATTGTTGGAAACTGGTTGTTAAGGTTACGAATTTGTTGTTATGTTTTGATTGAAAGCAACAATGGTCTCAATGCTTCCTTGTGGTTGTGTGCAGGTATGACTGTGGGATCTATGTCTACCAGTTCGTACAAGCGATTACCGAAGGTAGAGATGTCCTGCACGTCACGCCCGAAGAGCATAACACATGGGTGGTTCGTGCGAAGCTAGCAGCGTACTTACTGATTGAAGGCAGGAAGAGGAAAAAAGAGGTGGGAAAACTTGACGATGATGACGTTGAGATGTAGATTTTTTGTAAATGATATATTACATTTCTTTGGTGTTACTAACAATATACATGTAAATATTAAAAGGTAAATATAAACAATATAAGGTTGATCTGTGAATGATATATTACAATTCTTTGTTGTTAATAGCAATGTACAAGTAACTATTATAAGGTTGATATCAAGGGATAACATTAACAGCAAACCCATGAGTTCAACAACAAAACCGTAACCTCAACAACAAACATTGTTGTTAATAGCAATATACAAGTAACTATTATAAGGTTGATATCAAGGGATAACATTAACAACAAACCCATGAGTTCAACAACAAAACCGTAACCTCAACAACAAACAACAAAGCTTAACAACATCGCAAGATTCTGCTAACTTGTGCTTCAAATGCAACCAAACTAAATTCGAAAAGATTTCTGCATTTGTCCGCCAATAGTTTACGATATGCTAGATCCCCAAGGGATAACATTAACAACAAATCCATGAGTTCAATAACAAAACCGTAAACTCATCAACAAACACAAAAGCTTAACAACACACTATATTAGCAGAAACATATTAATAGGTAGTTAATAGAGCGTATCATCATCAAGTTCAGCAAAACATTTGGTAATTTACAATAAAAGACAACCTAGGGGCCGACTGCTCCTCCCCCGCTCCCCTTGCTCGAAGCGCGATCGTGGTAGGAACCCCTATCGCGAGGAAAGGTGGACGGCCCAACACCTTGGGCCCGAAGAAATCGTTGCAAGAGCTCTTTCTCCACCGTCATTTGCCTGCCGTCCCAAGACACTTCAATCAATTCCGGGTCGGCGCAGGAAGGCTGCGGTTGCTGGCTTTGAGGTTGGTCAACGGACATATCGATGGGACCTTGCTCATTGTTTGCCTGCTGCTCACGGTCTCCACCCACAAGCTGAGTGACGACGAAACCTTCCATTAGACGACGGTCCATGGGAGAGGTGTAACGAAACCTAATCCTCTTAGGGATATCCGAATATTCCCTAATCTCTAGCAGCACCCTGCAGTCTCTGAAGTTTGTCTTCGTGGTGATGTCAGCGGAGCAGTACACGCATTGGCCGATACCCTCGAACAGTGATTGGAGGAACTCCCACTCCCAGAGGTGGTAGGGGATATTGAAGAGGCGGACCCACCTAAACATGGGGTACGACAATGCTCTTAGCCTGAGGTCCTCCCGCCAAAGCCTGAATCTGCCCACGAAGGACCCAAGATTTACAGGACTGAGCTCGACGGCTTGATCTAGTAGCTCATCAGAGGGGAATTTAACCATGAACCTATTTATAGATACCCGCTTGATCTCATAGGTCCAATCCCAGATGTCAAAGCGATACCCTAGCATCTCTTTGAGCTCGTCCAAAGATGGCAGACCCACCTCAATAGTGAGGAGAGCGAATGTAGAAAGCTCCTGAATGTTGCGGGCGACGTTATCTGGAACGGGGAGAAATCGTGGGTCCCTATTTGCTACAAGACCATGAGGGCAATCCCAGGAGATATGCCCCGAGCCATGACAATGTATACACGCGCTATCATCGTGAGACATGATCCTTCTGGTTTCGAAACGAAGGTCGTGTAGTTGTTAATGGGGCTGACATGGGGAGAAAATGGCGGTGATGGGAAGATTGATGGCTTCGTCGAAAGGTCTTGTCATGGATACAGGGGAAGGGATGAGGGTTAATTAAAGCGTGGTGGCTGGGAATAACGAGGAGACAGATGATAATACTGGCTGTCTTGGAAACATAATCTACTATGGAAGCATTTAATACAGATAGAAACCCACTAACTGCTTTCTTGATCAACTTGGCAACTAAAAGGCTAAAGCTGACAAGAGAGCGCTAACATTATCTAACAATCCATAAGCTTGACAACAGAGCGCTAACTTTAGCAACCTATCCATAACCTTGACAACCAGTACATAATCTTGATAACCAGACCATGATCTTATCTTAACAAAAAAAACCATAAGCTCAATAATACAACCTTGTATAATGACACGTCCTTCTTTACAGCCATGCTACAACCTTAACAACCCAAAAGCTATACATAACAACAGACAAATAAGCCTAACAACAGAGCTTAACGTTACAACAGGGAGCTAACGTTAGCTACCATTCCATAGTTTTGACAACAGATAGCTAACCTTAACAACCAATACATAAGCTTGACAATTAACAGCTTACCTTAACAACAGATAGCTAACCCTATTGTTAAGGAATCCATAAGCTTGACAA